AAGAGAGAAAATCACAGGAGAATAGAATAGATTTTGTGGTGCACCTATGACGAGGATAAGTCGAATGAGGAACAGCTCTTAATCATTATAATCTGTAAAGTGTTTATTCCGCATAGACACACCAGCGGTATAGCGCATGGGGATGGATCCACGGTGATCTAAAGCGTCATCATCTGTCTGGTGGAGGGGGTTAAATCATCTAAGGCTTCTTGACGAAAAGGAATGCGTAAACAAGATGTTAAGTGTTTTTAAAGTTTGCTCCTATCGCTGATTGGTCGCGCTTGCTAAAACTCAATAATATGACTTTGTTTTGCAGTGAACGGCTTTGTCAGCAAGGGCTGTGCTGCCAGCACGTGGAAATCCAACCATAGCAAGAGCAGCGGAATTGGCTGCAGGCGAGAAGAAATATTCGGCGTCGTTTCGCAGGTTTGTTACTGCAACAACAGCGACTTCTGCAATGCTTCTCTCAAGTCCTTTGGTTGGTCAACACCCTTCGCCGTGTTCTTGTGCCTTGGAGTATGTCTGCTGCTGTACGAGCTCTGAAGGCCCAATTTCAAAGGAACTTACTTCTGGCTAATAGATACGCAAAAGAAACTGAAGTACCACGCGTTTCCTTGTTCGTCAGGGAACGCTGCCATCGATAAGGCCTCATACCTCGATGATCGGTCGATGCCTCAGGCGTTCTTAACGAACCTTAGTTTTTCAAATCTAAGATACCGAATAAATATTTTGTTTAACAGTGGAAACACTTAATCGGCGGTACAAACCAGCCAGCGCTTTGCGTTGCAACAGATCGTATTTGGTAATGGCTAAAATTTGTAAACGGTTTTGCGTTTTCAAATCATTATGCGAAATATATCAAACGCACTGGAAAAGAACATAGAGAAAAGTATCAGAGTAAAAAATGAGGAAGAACTTTTTCTTCTACAGTATTGCTTCAGGAGTTCTCAGACAAAGTAAAGAGGCTACGCTGAAAACGTTTCCTCACAACGCAAATACATAGAAGCTGTCAGTGAACTTCTAGGAAAAACAGAAGTAAAAAACATCACAAAAGCATACGTTCACATGCTTTTGATAAGTTGCTGTGGTTCAGATCCGCATTTCTTGAAGATCATCGGCAGGATCGCAGTGTTCAATTCCCAAAATCTCCTCTAGCAGCTTTCTGTTTTGGTATGGTATCTGAAAAGTCATATCTTTTTCTAAGATTTCTATGGGCATTATAAATCTCGCAAGGCACGCTCAATGTGTCTCGGACGAAAATCTTCTTAAGCCTTACTACGAAACGAGACATAAAGTGCAGCGTATGTAAAGCCCTGTCGCTTGCATCATCCTGTGGTCTCAAAGGCTGGCTTAACGATGATCGTGTAGAGAGCTGCCCTGTAGTCATGTTCTTGCAAAAGCCTGTTCAAGATCAAGAACCTATATTTCATACAGTAGCAAAAGTTAGTCAAAGTTATACGTCAAGTATCAACCATAATCCTTCGTTCAGACGAAATGTATGGATGTACAAGACTGCACATATATTGCTTTGTTCAGCTCCCACTACATAAATCATTCAAACGCCGCTAGTGTCATGTTTCCCCGTATTTACTGATGTCCTGAATCGAGTATTGCCAAGAATTTCTATTCGTTCAATCGTTGCTCATCATATGCTGCTCAGAAAATGATGACACAACGACAAGACTTTATCAGAGCATCCTTGAGGATCAACAATGAAGGACCAAGGCCTTTCTTCAAGTCTGTAGCAAGAATATCTTTTTCCTGTACGCTTTTGCCGCCTAATTAAATTGATTGCCTATTTGCCAGGGCACTTCAGGAAACGAGAAATGCTCACCTCCTTACTTCACGCTTACGTGCAATCATCTACTGTCCCCAATGTCCTTTCGCCGCGACTTGGATATCTACGTACTACTTGAGGAAAGTCAGGAGGTTTGTCTTCAGAATAATGAAAAATGCGAAGACACTCATCTGTTCAAAAAATTGATGATATCAAAATACAAATCCAATATCGTATTACGTGGGTAACGGTAAAATTATGATTTGGTACACCAGAGTATGCATACTAAAGCAGGGTTTTTCTGGATCAGATTTACCGTGGTAATAGTAGACAGCACGATGAAAGTTTTGTCATGCATTCTTCGACTAATATGGATCGCATTCCTCATTCTTCTATAATGTCTTCCAGACATATCTTCCTCATGATATAGGGTGGTTTGTTAACCGCTGATTACCATTGTCTTGGCAACCAATCCATTTAGAATCATAGCGGATATCAGACTCAGGAAAAACCTCGCTACTATATCTCCCCGTGTCATGCAACTTCCTCACCTGAGTCTTCGCGACTTGTATCTTGAAGCTGACATTTTATAAAAAATAGCATGCATAGTAATAATTTCACTAAATGCCATTAAACACGCTTTTAGAGAATAAGATTTTGGTAGTCTACAGATACACAGCAAAAGTAGACTTTTAAATTTTACAGCACTTATACTGAAACCAGTAAAGTGTATTAGAAAGCTCATTATTGCTTGGCATGTACAAATATACAAAACTCGATTGCAGTCTTCGATTATTATTTTTGGACTGGTAAAAAAATTACGGCTATTGTGCTAATGTCTACTTAGCGACCCACGAGTCTGCGATCCAAAAAGATGAAAGACCAGTGAAATTCAGTGCCTGTTTAAAATGATATACTCTCTATAACGATAAAGTGCTGTTT